CCTACTTTTTACTTCGGTCTCTACTTCCAACTACAAGGTAACGAGACGATCTGCCACAGGTTTCTTGTCCAGGTATTCCTCTTCCTTATCCCGTCTTAATTCACCAATCAAAAAAGAACCGTCCTGTGGACAGCACCTCGTCACAACGTTTCCAAACAATAGTCAGGCTTCAGCAGATCGAGCGTTTAAGTAACCTAGAGTACCTAGGAAACACGAGTCGTGTATGCTTGAAGACTATGATCAAACAACATTTAGCTTGCCGAGGTTCACTTGGAATAGCAAAATGATTAAATGGCAAGTGCTAAACAGTCATAAGGATCAAGAGGTAATAGTAAAAAATTTTATTGCATTTTTGAAAATAAACAACGAGAACCTGTTCTGACAAGAATTAAAAACAGAAACATTAAAAATAAAAACTCGTACAATAAACGTTCTGAAAATATAATAAATGTCATCCTAAAAAGACCTTGCACTTCATGAGATCGGTAAAACGAAGAACAAAATAAGGAGCCACAAAGAACCGACATCAACGAGCACAAGTTATAGCTTCATTAAGCACTTCAGTCTCGTGTTTCTTCACAGCCTCCTCCCAAACTCGAGCTTTTTCTGTGGAGAAGTGAATTTCCGACTCCAAAGCTGAACGTGTCTTCAGATATCGCAGGCCCGTTTTCAGACCCTGAACTACTTTTTGTAAAAACATTATAAAAGTTACATTCCTCCTTAGAAATATCCAAATACCAAATCAACGCCTTAAAAACTATGTTTACAAGTTGCAGACCTGGCATAAAACTACAAGTTCGCAAACTCCGTGAAATTTCGCATCACAATTACTAACAAAAAGCAGAATGACTGTCCAAAAAGCAGCAATCAGAATTGACAAAATTCCGAAAAAATAATGTCCAGGAAACGAGTTTAACCAAGAAAAAAATATATCCCACTGACCTTTTCCCATCCATAAAAATGCATACTGGTACAGTTTGCAAACGTAGGATTAGCAATATAAACATCCAATGACTGTGAGTGGTCAATGAACGGAGCGCGATCGACGGCCATGTCTATAAGGTCCTGAAAAAGAAAATGTAAAGCAGCTAGATCAGGCAATGTAAGCCATGAAAAGGTGTTCAGAACTAATAGCTCTTGTCATAACAAATCAAAGTTCAACACGATGCAATAAAACGGTGGTAAATGACTTGCTTTTTGAGACGTTTCCCAAACTGTTTTATACAATTCTCGTATTTCGGAAGGGATTCGCGATATTTCTCGAATCGATCCTTTATTGACAACAATGTCAACCCTCATTTCTTCGTCCCACAAACCAAGTTTAAATAAATCTTTGGCAAGATGTGGATTGAATATCTGCAACAAAGGACAAACTGCTTTCCAACCAAGAACAGATACAGACGTCCATTCATAAAAATAAGAACAAAGGAAATAAAATATAGGTCGGTTTGAACGCAATTAAAAAGACCCTTCATCCCTATGTTACTCCATAAACTGGAAAAAAAAGAGAAGAACGATAAACAGACGAACCTGGAAATCCGTAGACAAATGGCGAGAATAAACGTTTGTCATGTACGGTTGCACACCTTCATTGCTTCCCAACAACTGTCCAGAGGAAGCTGCCGGCATCTGCGCCGTTACTAAACTGTTGCGTAGTCCGTGTTTAACTATTTCCAACTTCAAGCGTTCCCAATCCCACTGATCACTCGGCTTCACGCCCCACATATCGAATTGTAACAACTGAAAAGAAGTACAAAGAAGACAGCTATATACATCACATAAATAAAAAAGAAAAACAGAAGGAAATTCAAACAAAAAAGAAAAAGCAATAGAAAACATTATTAAGTACTGACCCCTTCACTTGCTGGAGAGCCTTTGAAAGTTTCGTATGGACCATCTTTCACAGCCAGCTCGCAAGATGCTTCTAACGCTCCGTGATATACAGTTTCAAATACTTTTCTGTTGGCGTTACGTGCCTTGGGGCTTGTAAATGGGCACCTAAACAACAATATCAAGTACAACAAAGATCAATGCAATCGAAATTACAATAAAGATTATGAAACCTCATCAGAAGAAATGCATCAGCAAGCCCTTGTACTCCTATTCCGATCGCCCTATGACGCTTAGCGGAAAGTTCTGTTTCCGAAAGAGGATAGTAGTTGACATCAATCATTTTGTTCAACGTATAAGTTACTTTTTTAGTCGTCTTAAAAACGTTGTCAAGCAATAGTTTCAAGAAAAGCGATTGCGATACAAGGTTATAACGCACAACAAAAGGAAAGAAATAAAGTAAATTAAGAAAGAAAACTTGAAATTAGAATTAAGAACAATAGAGGTCTATGCGGAGAGTTAAAAAAAAATCACCTCGTGTAGAAGTTGGTAATCTATTTCTTTTTCGGCTGTAACAAATTTGTTTACTGCAATTGAAGCCATCTCACAAAGAGCACTTTCATTGCTTGTGCAAAATTGAACTATGTCGGCATCCATGCTGGAGCATTTTAGTGTGCCCAAATTTTTTTGGTTACTTTTTCTGTTGCAGGCATCCTCAAATTAACCTTTCCAATCAGCTACACCACTACAAAACTAAGTAAGCGGAGAGCAAAACTTCATAATAAAATACCTTGTATAAAATATATGGCATTCCTGTTTCAATTTGTGCTGTCACTATAGTTTCCCAAACCTTCCTCGCGTCAAGCTGTTTTCTAAATCGTCCTTCTTCCTCATATCTGAAAAGAAGTTAACAATCAAATGTTTACGAGGTCAGGAGAGAACTAAATCCAAAAAAGACTTCATTACTTGGTGTATAATTTCTCGAACTCTTCTCCCCATGACTGTTCGAGCCCAGGACATTCTGCAGGGCACATAAGTGACCATTTTCCATTTTCTTTAACTCGCCTCATAAAAAGATCGGGAACCCAAAGTGCAAAATTGAGCTCTCTGCATCTCTCTAGCTCATCGCCAACCTTCTTTTTCAGTTCGAAAGTCTGCATTACATCCGCATGCCATGGTTCAAGGTAGATTGCCACTGCACCAGGCCTCTACAACCAAAAGAACTGCTATCGAATCGCAAAAATTAGGAAACTAAAAGAGCGTACCCTACAAGCACCCTGATCAATGTATCGCACAGAACTATTAAATACACGTAACATTGGTATAAGACCATTGGATACCCCACAAGTCTGCAAAAAAAAAAAAACATCATTAGGTGTAAAAAACTATTAAAAGTAATTTAACATGAAACTACAAAAATACAGGTACATTTACTTATTACCGACAGAATCCAATGAATAAACTTCAAAAACGATAGAATACAACGAAAAGAACTTTTATTTCTAAAATGCACAAAGTACAGCTGAAATACTGGATTCTTAAATAACTTACACCAAAAATAGGAGATCCAGTAGAACGAATATTGTGAACTGCAAGTCCAATTTTGCCACTACATCTTGATATTAATGCGCATTTTTTTACAGTTTCAAAAATTCCATCAATACTGTCTTCCTGCATTATGACCGAGAAGCTAGACGCCATTTGTGGCCGAGGCATACCGCTATTGCACAGCGTTGAAATTTCATAAGAATACCAGTGCTCCGAAATCAAGTCATAGGTCTAGATAATTAAAAGCTGAAACCAAAATACAGATCTATTTACAGAAGAAATAACAAAAACAGTAATTCAGACCTCAACAGCAGCATCTAGATCATCTCCATTTAAGCTCAAAGCAACTCGTAAAAACATGTGCTGTGGCCGTTCAATTACTACACCATCAATCTTTAATAAGCACATTTCCTCCAACTTTCTGATCGCAAAAAAGTTGAATAAATAATCCCGGTCGTGCCTAATTATTGAGTTAAAACGCTGAAAACTTTGTAAATGCATTAAAAAAATTAAAGGAGAGAATTTTAAAACAAAAAGTCAAAGTTGAGGCGGCTCACTTCTTTATTTGCCTGTACGAGATCATACAGGCTCTTGCTAACGAGGGGCGCGTCTTTTTGCACCCTAGGAGCTTTTACGTTAAAGAGCTTACCGATAACTTCAGAAAAGTCCTGAAAAGTTCTGAGAAAGCTTACACCAGAAAATCAAGTCCTTAAAACTACTTGAAGCCATTTTACTGCAAAAAGTGGCAGAGCAAAATTGAAGCACTACAATAAACAGAACATAAAGTCAAATCAACCAATTAAATTCGTCATACGCTGGCTGTATTCTTATGAAGATTAGAAACGGCTATTCTCGACGCAAGAAGCCCATAGTCTGGATGTTTCCCTATTAAATTAGCAGCAGCTTCTGCTGCAAGCTCATCCAATTGAGTTGTAGTAATACCAGGAAATAAACCAGTGATAACTGTTTGTGCCACTTCAATCTTAAATAGTATCCAACAAATTACTGAATGTGGCTACAAATGACCGTATAAAAAAACGTTCAACAGCAACTCACTGGGTCGACGTAATCCTTGTCAAGGCCCTCAGACAGTTTCTCAATCCGACTTGCAATTTTATCAAAGCGTACCACTTCCTCTCTTCCATCTGAAGCAAAATATCATGTCTTCTTTTCTCCTCAAGTTTTCCTCACGATATCATTCTAACTCTACTTCATATCCTAAGCAATGAGCTGAATAACAACGTTCAAAAAGAACTTTCGTTCGACGGTCAACCGAGCGATGTGTTCTAATGTTACAGCAAAACAAAATAGGCTCATAGAGAAGACTTATTCCTTTGAAAATATGGAATGGCTACCAGACGCCGCTTAATATTTATTCAATGAAAATGCAAATGCGATAATGTGCTACCTCTACAAAAAGATCTAAAAATTATTCAGAATCTCAGTAGAACCAAGCTAAGTTTCAATAAGCAACAATACTAGCCAGTTAAAACTGTCCACAAAAACGAGTCGACGCCAAACCGGTCAACTTTAAAAGCATCGGACCTGATAAAACTGTAAAGTAAAGCGAGAAACAAAGTTTACCTCTCTTAACGACGTACGAGCTCCGATGTCTTTTTAACTCCGGCATAGCTCAATTTCTGGAAGGTCACCGGAAATTTGAAGTCAAGTCCGACGCAGCCTAAAGTCATGTTTGTGTAACAAATCGGCTTCACCTCACCTTTTGAAACTTGCTGCTTTCATCCCGATTTCTACTCTCAGGATAAATGATAGCACCGACCCCAGTGGGACGGCGAATTTTGCGCATTTTAGGAGATTCAAAAGCGCAAAACACAGCAGCGCAATATTTAGTCCTCCAATGCTATCAAAAATTTTAATATTTTTAATTTCACTGATTGCTATGCCTGTTTTGGAGGCACTTCACAGGGAAAACTAGCCCACATAGCACCTGGCTGAAGGATCTGAAAAATGGCAGGAGAAATCGCGAAGCTAAATCTGTTAATATCTAGACATGGAAAAGCAACCATGTCAAAAAATCATTGTGCTTGCAACTATCTTTATGCGAGTTCTTGAGGTTGTCGGATGCGCATGTAATTTACCTGTAGAGGTGAACTAAGCTTATGGTAAACCAGTAATAAATGATGTGTACTCAGTTTATCAAGATTTTTTTAACCATTAATAGAATATAGTAAGTAGAATGAAACTGAAAAGTTTTTATCCTGAAACATTTTCAAAAAGGAAAAGCCTGCATTATCTTGAAACACTGATAACAAACCGAAGACTCAGAAATAATGAAAAATATTGTTGAATTAGGTTCAAACATAATAAAAAATCGCTTTTGAACATTGTCATCCTATTAACCGAAGCGAAAAGCTAACAGGAAACTTGCAATAAAGACGGCCAAGTACTAAAAAAGCAGAATCCATTGCAGCAGTTCCTTCAGCACTCGATCCATAAACCAGAAATCTCAGTAGCAAAACAGCTGTGTAACCCACTGATAATTCTGTTGTTTTCTTACATTAAAATATAAAACCAAAACTTTTATGGAATAAAAATTTGTGTTTTTCGCGGGAAAGTTAAATGGCACAGTTGGCAGCCGTCGACAGGGCACAGTTCGCATCGCTTTACCACCTGTCTGATTTGCTTTGGTACGATGGCGGATGCTGTTGAGGATGACTACTCTCAAGAAGGCTATTCATGAACGCTTAGCAAACGAATAGTGTTTTTATTGTCACAGTTATTTCAGTTGAATCTTTATAATATTAAGACGAAAGAAAAATGAAAAGTACGCTTTACCGCTGCAAATAAATTTTATGAGCCGTTAATAATTGGGAAAAAAATTTGAAATTTCTTTAACAGTTCACCGCCGAGCGATTTCACCAGTATACTGTCTGCGGTAGATCATTGAAGATTCACTTTTTTTTGGAGCGGAAATACGAGCCAAATAGTTTCTATTACTGATGACAAATTCAGAAATATGGTTATAAATGTGCGTAAACCTTAGGCAGTCAAAAGAACCGTCACAGAGTGGCTGTATAAATTGGAAGAAGTAAAGGCTAAAAAACTTTGATCGAAAATTGAAAAAAAGGTTAAACGATAACAATTTGATAGGGAATTGAAATAAGACTTTCATGTCAGAAATTATAGGGTAACAACGGCACCAAACCAAGTAACAATTAGCCAAAACGGAACAGAAAAACCCTTTTCTTCAAAGATAAAGTACTGACCACCATGGCCTCCTAAAGAAGAGACCTTATCTCTTTCAAAAGCCATCCATTCCAATGTATGAAAACCAATTTCAGAGACAGTTTTCTCATTTGAATTCTCCTCTTTACCTAATGCTAGATGCTCGGACTAATTATATAATTTGAAATTGAATATATGTCGCATCTGCGACAACGGCACCACAGTAAAGGATATCAGTGGAAACAATAAAACTTTGATGGCAGGAACATATCCTCTATCTGAAAGCATATTTGCGATATTTCGTTAGCAAAACAACCAAATACCCGTATCATAAGCAAAAAAAAAATAAGCGGTCTTCTAACACATGTCAAATGGACTTTGCAAGAGGGAAAAGTAACTACTACTAACTAGGTCAAGTAATTAGAGCGCGTAATTTTGCAATCACCGATAACGTTGTGGATCCCCCCCCAGTCACGTACTTTAAATTTACGCACAACCGTACGCTTCAACTAGAAATATGACTTGTAACCTATAACTTCTTCCCACTAGGCTGAAAACGAACAATCCAAGCAACACCAAATCAGCAACCGTCATATAAAGCTAAAACAATTGCTCGCTAGACTTCAGTTAACCGCTGAGACTGACTGCTAAAACAACAAAAGTCTGACTACGCAAAGTGAAATCGCGGGAGTTTTGAACTGTCGAAGTCGCCAATAGATCAATGAAGTTTAAACCCTCTAAGCCCTATTCGTCTCAGCTTTTTCGATCTTGAATCGCTGCTAACCTTGTGGCCAAAAAATTGTATGACACTCATAAGTGACTGAGGAACTCGGTTCATTTTGTGATATATGCAAGACGGAAGAGGGAAAGTTAGAAAAAACGTATAAAATTTCTTTGGTATTTTGAAATTTATCTGAAATACCTTTTTTTTTTTTGAAAGCAAATTATCAAAAGGCGAATTTAATTTATTAGTAACGGTGTTCGTAGATGTGGACATAGCCTTCTAAGGTAAAAGACGGTTGGCAGCGTGCGAAACTGCTAAAAGTTTCCCATCGGCATTCCTTCCCAAAATCTTTTAAGTTAACTTTTACTAAGAAAGAGAACTTTTTAAATACCTGAAAATAAAGTAAGAGCAAAACCAGTAATTTTGCGGAAACCTAAGCTGATGGAAGATTAATTGAGTACTTCGTGTGTTTCAAGACAATTCTTTTTTTAGAGCTTTTCTAATAGGCTTATCGATCGGTGATTCTGCTTCTTCAAAATATCCACTGCATCAGGGCTTTCATCTACTCCGGTAAATAACAAATAAATATCTACTGCAAGTTCTTGATATTTATTCTCTTGCTTAGAAAAATGCCTTTTTTTTTTTTTCATTGATAGATTACTCCTAAAAAATGCCTATTCGTACGTAATTTTTATTCGACGATTCCAGCTTTTATGCTGATAGGATATCTGCACTTGCCTAATGTTGTTGGTAGTATTCCGCTTAAAAACACTTGTATTTTGATTAACACTGCTGAGATTTGATAAATTTTTTGTAATTCGTTTTGTAATTTTCAAAATTTAACTGTTTTTTTTGTCAAAGTTCTTTGTTACACGTTTGTCAACTATTTTCTGTATTTTTGTATTGCATCCGGTAGTGAAAATTTCCTAGCAAAAATCATCATCCAACAAATTCACCTAAGACACTTAGCAGCAGCTTTCTTCGTTTACCGGAACAGTTATTGTTGATGGCAAAAACTGTTGCTTGATAACTTAAAAATTACATCTACTAAGTCACCTTCAAAAGAACTTCCCAGAATCAGCTGGTATCACTGTTCATGGTATTCACTTTATCAGAAAAATTTCTTGTCTCCTGAATAAGTTAGATGAAAGTGTACATACTTGGCCACCAGCTTAAACTTGGTCTAATATTTTTGACATAGCTGTGCAAGTTATTCATCCTTTCTTTTTTTGAACAGCAAAATAATTACTGGTTTTATGATTTTTTAAAAGGCAAATAATTTTTTGCAGAAAAGTAACAAAATTTTCTTTATTGACAAAAGCAATAATAAAATTTTTTTAGCATTATTTTCTCAGAATACATCCATTTTAGGATGTGATATGACAGTATAATACAAAAAAAAAAATTGAACAAAATTTTTAGAACTGTCTTTGTATTGTAAAGAAAATTCTCAAAAACGCTGAACAACTATTGAGTGCTTTGTTTCAACTGCTGAACAGTTTTTTAATTATTATACGGTTGTGGCTAAGCATTGACTAAAGCTGATGTTTAACTGATGTTTGGAACTTGTTCACAGCTTATAGTAATGTGCCATCAGTAAACAAGAGTTTGGTATTAATATTTCTTTTTTTTAAGTTCTATGTTTGAAGAAAAATATTGTAGGGCAAAAAGAAAAAAAAAAATGAAAAATGAAAACAGAGTTTGGAATGCAACATTTTGGTAGGGAAGAAGCAGTGGATCTATGGCTATCACAGAGGACTATACGATGACAAATAATGCTAGGTTGAATGCTATTTATACATTGAGCACTGCAAGACTGATCTTACTAAATCAAACGCTACAGCTTGTGTAACGAAACTCATACTACGCCAAGAAAAAAAAAAAAAAAGACACTACTCAATAAATTTTTAAAATATTAATTTTTTTTTCCTATCTAATAAAACAGTTGCGTTGACAATACGTCATATGTATAACCTAACGGGGTAATAAATATTTCACTAAATTCTTACACTACACTAAGTTTACTCTCTTAAAGATATATTATCTGCATGTATAAATTTTTCAAACAAATAATTCAAGTAATTTCTTTTGTTAT